TATTTTCAAACTACCATTTACTCAGGAAACCTTTACTGCAGACAGTGCAGTTGAAAAGCTGCCTAATTTTGTTGTGAATTTCCATATGCTTTTTCAAATGTTGTTTTAGTCTGAAACTTTTCTCGCATTCCCGACAATTATGTAGCTTTACACCGTTATGAATTCCTATATGATTTCTCAAAGTTGATGAATGGGCGAAACTTTCGTTGCATATGAGACAACTATGCGGCTTCTTACCGGTATGAGTATTCCTATGATCCTTTAATGTTGACGAACGAGAGAATTTTTTGTTGCATTCCCGACAACTGTACGGCCTCCCAGCGATGTGAGCCCCCACATGAACTTTGATATTTGCTGAACTTGAACTCAAATTTGAACTTTGAACTTGGACTTCTATAATGCCTTCTGGACATTCACCACTCTGCAGTTCCTTCCTTTTCGATTTCTTTCCCGCCAATTCTTCCGTACTTTTTCGTTTAAAGCTCTCTTCTTTGACTGTTAAGTTCATCTTGACTGTCAAATTTTGACCGTTAAATTCATCTGTATTTTTAGCGGCTACTTCGGCTTTCGGCACTTTACCGGCTACTTCAGCTAATAACAACAAATTTCCCATTTGTTCGTCATTCAATCCCTGTACTGATAAATCCAACAGCTTTGTTTGTTCCGTTTGCGCTTCCTCAAATTATGTGAAATTATCAATCTCGTTGTGTTAAAAATTTGAAATCTTCGCATTAGTATAGTGCTGTGTTGTATTTTTAATTTTAAACGAACTTACTGTAGTTTGAAAGTTACTCAGTTGGACGAAGATGACGACGACAAAATAAATGAAACGCATGTTGATGTGACTGATTTCTTGCGTATTCTGGAAAATATTCAAGTTTACTGATGCAATAAATGGTTACTTATAAGAAATAAAACCGCCTGCTGTTTGATAACTGCGTAATGGAGAAATTTCTTCCAACTAATATTCACCCAAATATATTAATATTGAAAAGCAAAAGGTTTCGATTTCTTGTTACTATAATATAATTGCTTTTCTCACACAAACGATATGCATAAGAAGTCATTCACACTGTAAATCGGTGACAAACGTTCCAAAGCGAAGCCTTCGCGATATGTAAATTTAATAAAAAGATAATTTGTCTTAAAAAAAATGCTTATTTACAGATTCGTCGTGAAATTCCGAAATCTCTTATAACGTGATATATTGAAAAGCAGGTGACATTCTCTATTAAAATAAATGAAATAAATCTTGCTGGATAAAATTCGTGGAAGAGAGTTTGACACAAACGACCAGTCACTTCTGTTAGGTATTGTTCAATATCATCAGCATAAATATTCGTCCAAATGGGAGTGGCAGACTATCTGTTCATAATCTATGTTCACGTGTAATAATTCAATTGTACCAGTGCGTGTTTAATCTTTTATATTGAATAATTTCATTTTACGCTGTTCTATTGCATTGTAAAAATTAATTTATGCAAAGCTGCCCAAATTTTTTGTTCGATTTTGTTTTATTTCGCTTCAGTTCTTCCAAACTTTCAAAACTAGAGGCAATATTAGAGAGAGGGAAAAACTGCATTGCTATATTTTCATAATCCATACTA